ACTGGTTTGAACTGGTCTGAACTGGTTTGGACTGGTTTGGACTGGTTTGGACTGGTTTGAACTGGTTTGAACTGGTTTAGACTGGTTTGAACTGGTTTGAACTGGTTTGAACTGGTTTATACTGGTTTATACTGGTTTGAACTGGGAGGGTCACTGGGGTCACTGGGAGGGGCTCTGGGCTCACTGGGCTAAACTGGGAATGGGATTTCCCCTTACTGGTTTATACTGGTTTGGCGTTTTTCCTTACTGGTTTGGGGTCTGGGATTAGTGGTTTAAACTGGTCTGAACTGGTTTGGACTGGTTTGGACTGGTTTGAACTGGTTTGAACTGGTCTGAACAGGTTTATACTGGTTTGGCATTTTTCCTTAATGCTTTGGGGTCTGGGGTCACTGGTTTAAACTGGTTTGAACTGGTTTGAACTGGTTTGGACTGGTTTGGACTAGTTTGAACTGGTTTGGACTGGTTTGAACTGGTTTGGACTGGTTTGAACTGGTTTGGACTGGTTTGAACTGGTTTATACTGGTTTGAACTGGTTTGGACTGGTTTGAACTGGTCTGAACTGGTTTAAACTGCTTTGAACTGGGTTTAGACTGGTTTATACTGGTTTGAACTGGTCTGAACTGGTTTGAACTGGTTTATACTGGTTTGGACTGGTTTGGACTGGTTTGATCTGGTTTATACTGGTTTGAACTGGTCTGAACTGGTTTGAACTGGTTTATACTGGTTTGGCATTTTTCCTTACTGGTTTGGGGTCTGGGGTTACTGGTTTAAACTGGTTTGAACTGGTTTGAACTGGTCTGAACTGGTTAATACTGGTTTGAACTGGTCTGAACTGGTTTATACTGGTCCGAACTGGTTTATACTGGTTTGAACTGGTTTATACTGGTTTGGCATTTTTCCTTACTGGTTTGGGGTCTGGGGTTACTGGTTTAAACTGGTTTGAACTGGTTTGAACTGGTTTTGACTGGTTTAAACTGGTTTGGACTGGTTTGAACTGGTTTGAACTTGTCCAAACTGGTTTATACTGGTCCGAACTGGTCCGAACTGGTTTATACTGGTTTGAACTGGTCCGAACTGGTTTATACTGGTCCGAACTGGTCCGAACTGGTCAGGCCCCTTCCCCTGCCCGGCTTTCTGCCGTTTCCTCCCTGGCTGGCCCCGGGTGGGGGGAGGGGGCGGGGCGGGCGGCTGGTGGGCGTGGCGCTGTGTATGCTAATGAGGTGGGCGTGTCCCCCGCGGCGGTGACGTCACAGGGGCTGGGCCCGTACGGCGTCAGCAAGGCGGCGCTGCTGGGATTGGTGGCGGCGCTGAGCCCGGAGCTGCTGCCCCGCGGGATCCGCCTCAACGGCGTCGCGCCCGGGCTGGTCCGGACCCGCTTCAGCGCCGCCGTGAGCCGGGGGGGGACTGGGTTATACTGGGTTATACTGGTTTGGACTGGGAGGGGAAAAAATGGGGGAAAAATGGGGAAAAATGGGGGAAATATGGCATAGAAAGGGTTAAAAATGGGGAAGAAAGGGTTAAAAATGGCGGGAAATGGGGTTTGGGGTTACTGGTTTATACTGGTTTGTACTGGTTTATACTGGGAGGGACTGGGAGGGGAAAAAATGGAGGAAAACGGGGGGAAAATGGGGAAAATAGGGTTAAAAATGGGGGAAAAATGGCATAGAAAGGGTTAAAAATGGCGGGAAATGGGGGTTTGGGGTTACTGGTTTGTACTGGTTTATACTGGTTTGGACTGGGAGGGGAAAAAATGGAGGAAAACGGGGAAAAAATGGGGAAAATAGGGGGAAAAATGGCATAGAAAGGGTTAAAAATGGGGAAGAAAGGGTTAAAAATGGCGGGAAATGGGGTTTGGGGTTACTGGTTTGTACTGGTCTGAACTGGTTTATACTGGTTTCCCCAGCTGTGGCAGGACGAGGCCGTGCTGGAGAAGGCCCTGGGAGCACTGGGAGCTCTGAGGTGAGAGCCCAGTCCAAACCAGTATAAACCAGTCCAAACCAGTAACCCCAACCCCCATTTCCCGCCATTTTCCGCCATCTTGTCCCCAAATTCCGCCATTTTTTCCCATTTTTTCCCATTTTTTCCCATTTTTTCCCATTTTTTCCCCATTTCCCGCCTCCCCCAGTCCAAACCAGTCCCTCCCAGTCCCTCCCAGTCCAAACCAGTAACCCCAAACCCCATTTCCCGCCATTTTCCGCCATCTTGTTTCCGGTTTCCGCCATCTTGTTTCCGTTTTCCGCCATCTTGTTTCCATTTTCCCCCATTTCCCCCCCCGTTTTTTCCCGTTTTTTCCCGTTTTTTCCCCATTTCCCCCCTCCCCCAGCCCCTCCCAGTCCCTCCCAGTATAAACCAGTAACCCCCAGTCCCCGCAGGCTGGGCCAGCCGCAGGAAGTGGCGGCGGCCGTGCTGTTCCTGGTGTCCCCCCAGGCCTCGTTCGTGGCCGGACAGACGCTGCTGGTGGCCGGAGGGGGCGGGGCCAGGCTCTGACCACGCCCCCTCCCTCATTAACATGCAAATCCATGCAAATCTACGCGAGATCGGCGCGAAATCGAGGTGTGGTATATCGGCTGTATGCAAATGAGGCGTTGATTAAAGATGGCGGAGCTGGCGTGAGCGGTGCTTTGTGGGGGGGACTGGTTTATACTGGTTTATACTGGGAGGGGCGGGTTTAGGCTGGTTTGAACTGGTTTGAACTGGTTTATACTGGGAGGGCAGTGGGAGGGAGTGGGACAGAGTGGTTTATACTGGTTTGGGCTAGTTTATACTGGTTTATACTGGTTTATACTGGTTTATACTGGTTTGTACTGGGATGGGACTGGGAGGGGGGCGGGGCCCACTTAATGCTGCCTTAAAGAGCCAGCGGCACGTCCCAGTTCAAACCAGTATAAACCAGTAACCCCCCATACCCCCTCCCAGTCCATCCCAGTCCATCCCAGTCCATCCCAGTCCATCCCAGTTCAATCCCAGTTCATCCCAGTTCAATCCCAGTCCATCCCAGTCCATCCCAGTCCATCCCAGTTCAATCCCAGTCCATCCCAGTTCAATCCCAGTCCATCCCAGTCCATCCCAGTTCAATCCCAGTTCA